TGTGCAGTTCCACAGCTTCCCACCTTCTCTGCCTCCCTTGCCACTCCCACGTCTTCTGCCTCTGAGGAGACGGCGGCCGTTTCTGTCTCTGGCGGGCAGAAACGTGGCAAGGCTGGTAAGAGAGGCGGGAAGGGCGGCGGGGGTACTGGAGGTGGTGCGGGTAGTGGCGGTGGCGGTGGAGCAGGTGGTGGGAGTGGTGGTGGGGGTGGCTCGGGACCTGACGGCCCTCCTTTCGACGGTGGAGCTTTCACTGGTGGTGAGGGGTCTCAGCAGCAGCAGCAGTCGCCTCCCCAACAGCTGCCACCGCCTGGACAGCAGCAGCGGCAGGGACAGCAGCAGCAGCGACAGGGCCAGCAGCAGCGCCCGCCACAGCAGCAGCCTCAGCAGTGGGGCCCTCCGCAGCAGTGGAGGTCTGCGGGTCCCCCGAGCACTGGGCGCAGTGGCAGCCCCTCTAGTCGGGGACCTCGCTCGGCCGGCCGCGACGTTGGTCCCTGTGAGTACTGGATCCTTACGGGTCCTCGTCGGGACTCGTACTGTGGCCGCCCCAACCACTCTACTGCATGTTGCTTCGGTCGTCTCGACGACCTCTACCTCTTGCACCACGGCCCCTCCGCTCCCCCGCCGCCACGCTGGGGGACGCTTCTTGCTCGTGGTATTGCTGTTTTTGATATGACTATGGATGATGCTAGGTCTTATGCCATGTATGCTGATGTTGACTATAGTGCTCCTGGATCTGTGTACTTGCCTGTACCTAGCTTAGGATCTTTGCCTGTTGCTAGAATAGGTGCCAGTGTAGGATCCTGTATAGCTACTAGTACAGGTACTCCCTCGGCGGACGCGTCTCTCTCCTTCACACTGGACTCAGGAGCGACGCAGTGCTTCTTCCGCGACCGCACGAATCTCTCTCCGCTCCCGGCGCCAGTCTCTATAGCACTGGCCGATCCCACTTCGGGACCGGTCATTGCCACTCACGCCACTACTCTCCCGTGCCCAGCTGCCCCTTCCGGTTCCCTGACTGGCCTCCACGTTCCTACGTTCTCTAGGAACCTGGTTGGTGTGGGCCCCCTGGCGAGACAGCACGTCGGGGTCTGGGTTGAGCCTTCTGGTGACACCGCGGTCTGTGTGGACGGTGACACGTACGCCCCCTTGGCCACTTTCCGCCAGGAGCCGGGCTCTGGTCTGTACACCCTCCACACCGACCCCCGTCAGGTTCCTCCGTCCCACCAGGTCGCCAGGTTTAGTCAGGTTGCTGTGTCCGGTCTAGTTGCTGCGTCTGGTCAGGTCCCCGCGTCAGGTCCAGTTGCTGCGTCGTGCTCCTGCCGGTCGCTTGCTCACCCCACCGTTCTGTGGCACCACCGGATGGGGCACCCGTCCCTCCCTCGTCTCCGCGCTATGTCCAGTCAGCGTCTTGTCTTAGGCCTCCCCCGAGTCCTCCCGCCACTCCCGCCGTCCCCAGCTCCTCCGTGCGGTCCTTGTGTCGAGGGTCGGTTGCGCGCCACCCCTCACTCTTCCTCCCTTTGCCCGGCCACCGAGCCCTTCGAGACACTCCACTTAGACGTCTGGGGCCCCGCTCGCCGTCTTGGCCCTGAGCGGGAGAGTTTCTTTCTGGTGGTCGTTGACGATTACTCTCGGTACACCACCGTGTTCCCTTTGGCAAAGAAGTCCGACGTGACTTCTACGCTGATCCGGTGGCTGCTCGCCACCGAGAGTACTCGCCGTCGTCGTGTCAGTTGTCTCCACTCCGACCGTGGGGGTGAGTTTTGCTCCGGCATTCTCGCCAGATTCTGTGCTGAGCAGGGCATCACCCAGTCCTGGACTCTTCCAGACTCTCCACAGCAGAATGGGGTTGCTGAGCGCCGCTTAGGCCTGGTCATGGAGATCGCCCGCACCTCCATGATCCACGCCCGCGCGCCCCATTTTCTGTGGCCCTACGCGGCTCGGTACGCCGCTCACCAGCTGAACCTCTGGCCTCGCGTCTCTCGGCCAGGGGCTTCACCGACCAGTCTTTGGACAGGGTCCCCTGGTGTTGCGTCGAGGTTTAGTGTCTGGGGCTGCTTGGCTCTTGTCCGCGACACCTCTGCGGACAAGATCTCGCCTCGCGCTGTCCCCTGTGTCTTCCTTGGTTTCCCAGAGGGCTCCTCTGACTTCACCTTTTACCACCCTCCCTCCCACCGGTTCTTTGACTCTCGTGACGTCCGTTTCGACGAGTCCGTCCCCTACTACGTCCGGTACCCCTGTCGAGGTCTCCCGGTTCCCCCCCCTCCCCTCTTCCTGGCTCCAGCTCCTCCTCCTCCCGCCCCTGCTCCTCCGGTACCCCCCCCTGTTCCCGCTCCGTCTGGTGTGTCCCACGCTACTCCCCCCCCCCTCGGTACCCCCCCAGGTCTCTCCTCCTTCCCCACAGTCGTCCTCACAGCCTCCGCAGCAGCCGTCAGCGCTTCCTTTACCGGCCACTGCGGACTCTGAGGGTGTTGGTGCTCGGGGTGAGGGCTCTGGCGGTGCTCGCTCTGGGGGTGCTGGCGTTGGAGCTGTTCGTGCACCTACAGGAGCCGCCCGTTCTGGGGGTGTTGGCGTTGGCGCTGAGCGTGCACCTGCCGCAGCTGCCCGTTCCGAGGGTACTGGAGCTGGTGGTGGTGCTGGAGCTGGTGGTGTTTCTGGAGCTGGAGAGTCTGGGGCTGGTGCTGGTGCCACTGGAGGCACCACGACTGGGGGTGCGGGTACACCTCCTACTGGTGCTGGTCGTGCTGCCGCGGGAGGTACTCGCTCTGGGGGTGCTCAATCGGGTACTGTCGAGGACGGCGCCGGTTCTTCTGCTGCGTCTCCTGACACCACTCCTCCTCCTCACCCCTACCCGACTCGTTACCAGGCCCTTCTTCGTCTTGAGCGTGAGGAGCAGCAGCGTTTGGAGCGTGAGAGGTCGGAGGTTCAGCAGCGGGTGGAGCGTGAGAGGTTGGAGTTGCAGCAGCAGCAGGAGCAGCAGCAGCAGCCGCAGCAGCCGGAGCAGCCTCCGGCCCCTGTTTCTGGCCTTCGGGCCCTTGGTCTCCCCTCCTCTCCTCCTGTGTTCGGTCCTACGTTTCCTCCTCCGGACTCAGCTCCGGCTGTGTTCCCTCGTTCTCAGTCTCCTCCGTCTCCCCCTCTGTGAGGATCTAGGATCGAGCTCAGAAAAGAGAATGTGAATTGAATTATCACCTGGGTACAACACGAGGCTATATATAGGCTCGACACAAGGCAGGTAACCCAGGTGTTACGCGAATGTTCTGAGGGTCGCGAAGCGTCCCGAACAGAACCTTCCCGAACTCGGTAGAAAGCAATTCGGTGGCAACCGAATAGCTGAAGTTTGGTACACGTAACCTGGTTCGGTGCCTATAACTATAATAACTATAGTAAAGCAACGAACCTAGGAAATCAAGCAATTCATGCATGCAGAAAATAATCCTAAGCTAGAAATAGCGTAATGGAATAAAAGCAAGCATGAATAACAAGCATAAGCCGTCGTACTCTCACACGTCCCCCCCTCAAAGCTGGGTGGCGTGAGAGACACCCTGCTTGACAAGATAGTCATTGAGAGCACGGCGTGCGTTGCCCATATCAGCTTTTGCAACCCAACTGTCCTCAGTGGGGTCGTATCCCTTCCAGCGTATCAGGAACTCGAGGGTCTTGCCGCCGCGGCGCCGATGAGTGAGAACGCGCTCGATCTCGTACTCCGGTTCATCCTGCACAAGAACAGGTGGTGGTGGCGGTAGCTGCCGTCCCTGGAACTGTTGGTTGGGGTCCTTGTAGGGTTTCAGTAGCTGAACATGGAAAGCATTGTGAAGCTTCCACGTATCTAGTAAGCGCAAGCGGAATGTAACTGGTGTCACCTGTGCCTCCACGAGAAATGGACCACAGAAGCGAGGCCGGAGTTTGGATGGTAGGTGAGACAGGTTCAAGTTGCGCGTGTCAAGAAGCACCTGATCTCCGACTGCTACTGAGTGATCTCGTCGTTGGCGATCGGCATACTGCTTCTGGGAGTTCTGCATCGTGGTGAGACGCCGCTGAGTCTTCTCCCATAGCTGCTGCATGGTGGTGACGAAGTCGTGTGCGGCTTGGACGTGTGCCGGTGTGGTCGGCTGCTGTGGTGTGAGTGGTTCCCGTCCATAGCACAGGAAGAAAGGAGTTTTCCCTGTGGCCGCATGCGAGGCGTTGTTGTAAGCGAACTCTAAGGTCGGTAACTGTGTGTCCCAGTGGCTGATATCGTCTTTGCAAGCTGTGCGCAGTAACTGTTCAACCACCTGATTGAGTCGCTCCGTCTGTCCGTCAGTCTGGGGATGGTATGCTGAAGACATCGCAAGCTTAGTCCCCAACAGTCCCATAAGCTCCTTCCAGAACTTACTCGTGAATTTTGGGTCTCTGTCTGAGATGAGTGTAGCGGGGATGCCGTGGATGGTGATGATGCGGTCGAAGAAGAGTCGAGCAGTTGCTTCAGCTGTAGCTGTGGCGTTGGTCGGTATGAAGTGACCCATTTTGGAGAACTTATCGATCACTACGAGGATGGAATCGTGTCCCCGTGAGGTCGAAGGAACACCCTGTGATGAAGTCGAGGCTAACGACCTGCCATGGCTGCTCTGGTACGGGTAGAGGCTGAAGTAACCCTGCTTTCTTCTGCTTGCTACTCTTCATCCGCTGGCACGTGTCGCAGGAGGTGACGAACTGCTGCACGTCTGCTGCCATCCGGGGCCAGTAGTAATACTTTGCTATTCCCGCTAACGTCTTGTTGCTCCCAAAATGTCTCGCGTAAGGTACGTCATGAAACTCCTCCAATAGGATCTGCCGTAGCGGGGCGTAATTCGGTACCCAAATCTTTCCTGAACCCTTCCTTACCGCTAAGTCTTTCTCCCACTGTAACAGCTTCTGTTTCTCTGCCGTTGCTATCTCGCCGTCCACGGAGTATCCATGTTGGAATAGACCCTTGAGCAGAGGGTTCATCCCGTCGAGCTGGATGCCTGCTACATGACCTGGGCGGCTCAACGCGTCTGCCTTGTTGTGTAGCCCGGGCTTGTAGACGATGTCGTAGTGGAAGTGGGTCTCCAAGAAAAGGCTTCCTTGTCGTGAATGGGGTAGTTCAGTTCTGCTCCGTGTAACTTCTTACTGAGGTAGGCGATAGGCTGTAACCCGTTCCCGTGATCCTGCATCAGTACTGCTCCGACTGCCTGGTCACTAGCGTCTGCTTCAACTACGTAGTCCTTCTCGGGGTCCGGTAGGATGAGTACTGGCGCTGTGGTCAGTGCTGTCTGTAGCTGTTCCATGGCTTGCTGATGAGGAGCACCCCATTTGAAGGGCGTGTCCTTTTTCAGTAGGTCTGTCAGTGGCGCTGCTATCTTAGCGTACTGCGGCACAAACCTGTTGTAGTAGTTGGCGAAGCCGAGGAACTGCTGCAACTCCTTCACGTTCTCTGGAACTTTCCACTTTTTAACGGCTTCGATCTTCCGCGGGTCCACGTGTACGCCTTCGGCACTCACCATGTGCCCGAGAAACTGCACCTTCTTCAGTGCGAAGTCGCTCTTCGACAGCTTCACGTAGAACTTATTCTTCCGCAGGATCTCGAACACCTTCCGCAGATGCTCTACGTGCTCCTTCATGTTCTTGGAGTAGATGAGAATGTCGTCCAGGTACACTACTACGCACTCGTCCAGCAGGGGCCGTAGGATGTGGTTCATCTCTGCCTGGAACGTCGCTGGTGCGTTGCAGAGTCCGAACGGCATCACTAAGTACTCGTAGGAGCCGTATCTCGTACGGAACGCCGTTTTGTGGATCGAGTTGTCTGCCATCTTGATCTGCCAGTAACCCGACCGTAAGCAAGCATGAATAATAGCCTTCGGGCCCTTGGTCTCCCCTCCTCTCCTCCTGTGTTCGGTCCTACGTTTCCTCCTCCGGACTCAGCTCCGGCTGTGTTCCCTCGTTCTCAGTCTCCTCCGTCTCCCCCTCCACTCGCCCACACTTGGACCTCTCGTTCTCCTCGTGCTCGTCCCTCGTCCCCTGTCACTGACCTCCGTACCGCTTTGTTTCGTTCTAGTCCTCCTCTTCTTCCTCAGTCTGTTCTTCCTCGTCCTCCTGAGTCGTCCCTCACTGCCTCCCTGTCCACTCCGGTCTCTGACTACTACCGCACGTACCGCCCCACTCTCTCTCGTGTTCTCGCCTCTCTTGTTACAGACCCTCGTGCCTCTCCTTCCTCCGTCGCGGTCCTCACTGCCGCTGTCACTGACTTTACTGCTACGCGTCGCCTTGACTACGCCACTCGTGTTGTGGCCGCTCCTCCTGTCCGTCCTCTGTCCGCCGGGGGTGAGTCTGCCCTTGGCTGTGACGTCCTAGAGGACAGACAGTTTGAGCTAGAGTTCCTGGCAGCTGCTTCGCCTCATCTCTGTGCCATGCTCCTCGCTCCTGAGGGAGACCCCGACGCTCCTGACATACCTACTCCTCGCACTTACGCTGAGGCAGTGTCAGGGCCTTGGGCCTCTCAGTGGAGAGCTGCCATGGACGCAGAGATGGCCTCCTACAGGTCCACAGGCACTTACGTTGACGAGGTTCCCTTCCCAGGGGCGAACATCGTTGACGGCATGTGGATCTTCAAGGTGAAGCGGCCGCCGGGATCTCCCCCAGTCTTCAAGGCACGCTACGTGGCTAGAGGGTTCAGTCAGCGAGAGGGAGTTGACTTCTTTCAGACCTTTGCGCCCACCCCGAAGATGACCATTCTTCGGGTGTTACTGCACGTAGCAGCGCAGAGAGACTACGAGCTACACTCTCTTGACTTCTCCACTGCCTTCCTCCAGGGCCGCCTACACGAGGAGATCTGGCTGCGTCGTCCTCCGGGCTTCACTGGCACTTTCCCGCCTGGGACCCAGTGGAGCCTCAGACGACCGGTCTACGGTCTCCGCCAGGCACCCCGTGAGTGGCACGACACTCTCCGCTCTACTCTCTCTGACCTCGGGTTTGAGCTGTCTTCAGCCGACCCGTCGCTGTTTGTTCGTCGTGGGCGCACACCTTTCTTCGTTCTCGTCTACGTTGACGACCTGGTTTTTGCCACAGCCGACACAGTTGCACTGGCGGAGGTGAAGTCCGAACTGCAGAAGAGACACACCTGCACTGACCTTGGGGAACTGCGCCGCTACCTTGGCCTGCAGATCTCCAGGGACAGAGCCGCTCGCACCATCACTCTGACTCAGTCACACATGGTGCAGCAGGTCCTTCAGCGGTTCGGGCTTCAGCACTCTTCTCCTACACCCACCCCTCTTGCTGTAGACCACAGACTCACTGGGCCTTTTCCTGACGAGCCGTTCGAGCCCAGTGGTCCCTACGCAGAGCTGGTGGGCTGCCTCATGTACCTGATGACGTGTACTCGCCCGGACCTCGCCTTCCCTCTTAGCATCCTTTCTCGCTTTGTTGCGACTGGGAGACACCGTCCTGTTCACTGGGCGGCGGCTAAGAGGGTGGCGAAGTACCTCGGCGCGACATCAGACATGGGGCTTGTACTTGGAGGGACACAGCCAAATGTACTCACCGGTCACTGCGACTCCTCCTACGCCGACGACGTTGAGACTCAGAGGTCTACACAGGGTTACTGTTTCAGCCTGGGCTCTGGAGCTGTTTTGTGGAGGTCTACTCGGTCCTCCTCTGTTGCGACTTCTACCGCAGAGGCCGAGAAATACGCTGGAGCCCTTGCTGCACAGGAGCTACGCTGGTTGACCTTCTTGCTCACTGACCTTGGTGAGCGGCCGAGCTCTGCACCGACCTTGTTTGCTGACAACAAGGCGATGATTCTCCTGTGTCGTGAGCCTCGACTGGAGAGCAGAGTGAAGCACATCGACGTCAGGTACTTCCTCCTTCGAGAGTTGCAGAGACGCGGGCAGGCTCGTCTGGACTTCGTGGCCTCCGAGGCCAACACTGCAGACATCTTCACCAAGGCTCTTCAGCCTTGTGACCACCGCCGGTTTTGTCTGCAGTTAGGCCTTGTTGAGACTGGGTCTAGTAGACTGTAGTAGTGATTTCTTGCCTCTTGTGTGTGTGTACCATATATACACTCTTATTAGCTTATACATGAGGAGACACACTCTACAACGGTAGTGAGCTAGACTACGGGGTTGGCACGAACTACTAGGAGTGATCGTAGCTTTGCTTAGTTCCTTAGTGCTTGCACATTCACGGGAGAAATTGGCAAGAGTTTCCACTAGCAAAGTTGGAATTACATAAGGATAGAACAAGCAATGACAGAATGGACTACATCAGGCACCTAGCAACTCTGCAGCTAGCCTGGTCGACCGCCAGCACTGCATGGTCGACCGCGTGCCAGCATTGCGTAGAGGAGCCGCGCCAGCACTGCAGAAGAGCGACCTGCCAACACTGCAGGTCGACGGCGTGCCAACGCTGCAGCTGTGCGGCTGTCCAGCGTTGCCCCGTAGAAGACAGCAGTGCGCACGCTCGCAGGTGCGCGCAGACGATTGGCCCGACTTGCCTTGTTGGGCATCCGTCGGCTGTTGTCTGCGCCTGACGAGCCACATCGACTTCGGGATACCAGCCCGCAGTCGCCTTCGCCATTGCGACCTCGACGACGTTCGCGTGCCTTCGCAGAGCTCGTCGAGCAGGTTACCTGATCGATCCGGACACCACCAGGTGCTCCGGTCGACCACCAGTGCCTCCGGTCGACCACCAGGTGCCTCCGGTCGACCACAGCTCCCTCTGGTCGACCACCAGGTGCCTCTGGTCGACCACAGCTCCCGTCGAGCTACCCCCTGGTCGACGGACCCCTTCCGTCGACCAGAACTGCTCCGTCGACCTCCCGGTCGAGTCGCAGGTCGACGGGATGCTTCGCGGACCTCCCGGTCGAGCTGCAGGTCGACGGGATGCCCCCCAGTCCTCCCGGTCGAGCTGCAGTTCGACGGGATGCTCCAGAGACCTCCCCGTCGAGCTGTAGGTCGACGGACTGCTCCACAGTGACATCCTGCAGCTCGACGAAGCCCGTCGAGCAGCTCCTTCACTGCGAACGGTCGGCTGCTTCACCCGTACATCCGACCAAGTCGTCGGTGTTGCCCAAGCGAGGGCGGGGCCAACACTCCATTCCCGTTAACACTCCCCTGCCGCGCTCACGCTTGGGCCTCCAGCCCACACGGCAGTACTCCACGGAGAAAACTCGTCCTCGGCGTGCACCCCACACACAGCACGCCGTCACCGCACCAGCCGTGCAGAAGGGCACGGCACCTACTGCCGCACCTCGTCGTCTCCGTCGCCGACGTTGGCCAGGCGCACTTGGCCGATTGCGACGGAGCACCGGTTGAAGGCCGGAAAATGCAGCGCCTTCGTCAGGAAGTCCGCCGGCTGCTCGGTGGTCGGGTTGTACTTCAACTCGAACTTCCCGCGCCTCACCATGTGCTGCAGCCAGGCGTAGCGTCGCTCCATGTGCTTGAGGTTGCCTGTCAGCCCCAAGCCCTCAGCGACCGTGATTGCCGACTTGTTGTCGACGCGGAGGATGGTCGGCTTCCCAGCGTCGAGCAGCTTGAATTCTGCAAGGAGGAAGCGAAGTCGACGCCCCTCCTTGCCGGCATCTACGGCCGCGACGTACTCCGACTCGGTCGAGGAGAGCGTCGCGCACTTGATGCGCGAGCTCGACCAGGAGACAGCGGCCCCTCCGTAGACGAACACATAGCCGCCCGTGCTCGTCCGGTTCTGCTTGTCGCCCGCGTCGTCGGCATCCACGTAGCCGATCAGCTCCAGCGACTCTGGTCCACCGCCGAACTCCAAGGCGGTGTCGTCGGTGTCGGCGACGTAGGCGAGGCAGCGGTCGACCTCGCGCCAATGCTGGTCGCTCCTCACCGTGAGGCCGCTCCCCAGCTTGCTGCAGGCGAAGGCGATGTCCGGCCTCATCGTCGTCGCCGCGAACTGCAGCGAGCCGACCTTCTGCCGGTACTCCTCCTCCTCGCGCTCCTGCGCCTCCTCGTCGTCGAACGTCGGCTGGGCGTAGGCGTCGACCGAGACCGGCGTCTTCGGGATGCGCCCGCCTTGCTCCTCGTCGATGAAGCGCCTACGTAGCTTGTCGGCGTAGTTCTGTTGGTGCAGCCACAGCTTCCTCGCCGGCCTGTCGCGGACGATCTCCAGCCCAAGGTACTTCACCACCGGCGAGATCTCCCGCAGCTCGAAGGCGGACTCCAGCAGCTCCTTCAGCTCCTTCAGCATCGCTGTGCTGCTGCTGGCGGCGAGCAGGTCGTCGACGTAGACCAGCACCCAGCAGGTCACTCCGTCGTCGCCGGTCTTGAAGTAGAGCGCCTCGTCGACCTGGCTCTTCTTCCAGCCAGCTCCCAGCAGCACCCTGTCGAGAGCCCTGTACCACAGCAGCGGCGACTGCTTCAGCCCGTAGAGGCTCTTCAGCAGCTTACACACCCGGCCGGTCCCATCGTCGAAGTAGTCCGGCTGGTACATGTAGAGCACCCTGTCGAGCTTGCTCTGCAAGAATGCGTTCTTCATGTCGAGCTGCATCAGGTTGAGGTCGAGGATGGCGACGATGCTGAGGAAGATCCTCAGCGTGACGTAGCTGCTCACCGGCGCATACGTCTCGTCGTAGTCGGCGCCGTACACCTGCGTGAAGCCCTTCACGACCAGCCTCGCCTTCTCGCGCTCGACGGTGTCGTCGATGCGGTACTTGGTCGTCAGCACCCACCGGTTCTTCATGATG